GCGACCTTCCAAACAGCTATGAGCTTACTTACTTATTTAAACTAATGCAAATACCGTAGACGTTATTTCATTAATTAATAATATCGCACACACATATAGCCCCGCACTAGGGAAACCCTTAGTTTAGTAGCAGTAGAGCTCCTTGTGAAAGAGTTGGTCCAGGGAAATACTGCCACTTGTCTACTTCTGCCGCCAAGCAGTAATGTGAGCAATATTTTTATTATATTATTATATTATATTATTATGTTCCGGTTATGAAGGGTAAGGGTGCTGGTGAAATTACATGCACATGAGACTTGTCTATTACGTCTCAGGGTGACGGGCGCAGTGGCAGTGCCCCTCAGATCTTTGCGACTTAAAGCTCAGAGTGACACTGCAACTGTAGCTTACCATCAGGCGCACGGTAACCAGCCTGGTATCCAGCATGGTAACCATTCGGCCACACAGGCAGTTAAAAGTTATTATCTTTGTAAAAACATTTTCATAAATACCAACCAGGGCACAGATATATTGACATATTAATGTTTTGCAGTCCATTGTCAGCACATGCACGTGCTCCATTGTTTTATATGTTTTCGTGTCACTTGTATTGTGTCTGGAACTTATATAGATCTCTGCTGAATTACATTTGGCTGTGGACTCCAGAATTTATTTCAGGACTTCTTAGAATAGTACGTAAACTCAAAACCGATTTGTTTATGATTTTTTTAACTCTATAAAAGGGATTCGCTCTGGGCTTTTGGAGGGAAAAGTGTCGTTTTTATTTTGACTTTCAATTATTTTGTGAAAACGCTAGTATGCCTTAATCGAAGATTAAAATGCGACATTATACGAATCTCGAATTAAAATACCCGTATCGGCCCGTTCTAAGGAATCCCGAGTCAATCCAAACACGCCGCCTCAAATTGCCTATTCTCTTTGTGGCGGCCATATTTACAGAAACATAATTAAACGAAGACATGGCTCAAAAGACTTGTAACCACGCCAAAATTATTAATAAAAAACTACTCTATAGAAGTATGTGTTATATACATTGACTTACAAATAAACAATGGTTATATACATTGACTTAATGGTTATATATGATATTTTTAATAATATACATACGCAAAAAATTAGATTAACAAAATATTGGAGTACATTTTTCGTCATCCGGGACAAACATTTTAAAATTATTTTAAAAATGGGACTTGGCAATATTTTTTTGTTCTGTTCGTCCAAAAAGGACAAACTAAAAAAAAACAGACAGACTAGCCACCACACTGCCACATCTTCAGTGGCGAGTTAACAAGATCTAGTCCGTTAAGTAAATATCTTAAACTCTTTTTTTGTTCTATCTTCCTCTTCATGTTGTGTTAAGTTCTTCTTCCTTGCGGAAAAGCAACAATTTATGGACCATGCAGCCTAGTTATATTTCCAGGCCTTCTTTCATAAGATTTTTGTTTTTTCGTACTTATAGTTAAAGCAAGAAATTTTAATCCTGAAAAATATTGTTCTATAATTGTAATTTATTTTGAGAAAATCAAAGGTTTGTAAATATAAATAATATAATATAAATATAAAAAATATACATATTTGCATAATATGAATGAAAGTTTTTAAGTGTAATTTTCCTTTTTCTCAACTTCTTTGCAAGTGTGACATAAAACATTGTAGGCTACACGTACGAACTACAATTACAAACGTTCGGGATATTAAAGCACTCGCTTTTAGCTAGGGTTTTGAATGCCCCTCTGTTCCTAATTGCCTACTCACTGCCCTTTTAACACAATGTACTGCTGTGTTTACTCCAACCCTTTAAAGTTTATTCAATACCTTTCACTCTATTTTATCACTCTAATCGTTTTTATGAGGTCAGACAGTATGTACTGGATGAGAAAAAAGGTTTCGGATTCGATTCAAGGAACGACCAATTTTTAGAAAATAACTTTTCTAAATTGGTTCTAGTCTGACTGTTCTGGATAGCATTCCGGAGTCAATTATGTTACTCTAGTTCTCGTAGAACAGAGAATTCACTAGTTTGAGAATTCATTAGGTATTTGATGTAGTTGTCTGAAACATTATTGTTATTATCAGTATTAATAGCTATATAGATTTAGATATATAATAATAATAATGCACACAATCAACATAGCCCCGCACTAGGGAAACCCCATGTCACGAGTGCCATGGACACATACATAGACAACCACAAATTACACCCGAACCATACCCGAACACACGAGAGCAATAAATGTAGGCCATACAAATATTACTCTCGGCCCGGAATTCGGACCTGGGACCTCTGCGTGGCAGTCATGGTAACTATTCGGCCACAGAGGCAGTATTATCGGATATTTATTTTAGACTCTCGCATATCATCGGTTTTCTTAAAAAAGGGCGTAAACCACTGCTGTTTGAAAATATTTACGTTCTGCTTTAAAATTAATTACGCCAAAGTCTTAACTACTACTTAAAAACTTAATTTAACCTAAACTTAATTAAACCGAAAATGAATTTATGAAAGGTTGTTAATATATAAAACATGGTCCCCGAAAATCTACGACATGTTGCTTCCGCCCTTTCTACAAGACACCGATTATTATATTTTTAAATTATTATTGTTTTTCATTTCTCAGTCTTTTGATTGATTTTAACCACATCCACGGATCGAAACCAAGTAAATATTGGAATTATTTTTTTCTCAGGTTTTTGGCTGGGTTTAACTATATTTACGTATCGAAATCAAGTGAATGCTGTATTGTGATGAGCACCTATTTCGTCTTCTTCTGTCTGCTTGAACTTTTTATAATTGATTATGTAATGTATGCTTATTAGGATTAATTTGAAGTTTTAAATTGGAGAGGCGATATTCCCCTTCAATAGCACAGTCGGTCGGGGTTAGGTACATAGATTCAAGAGTCGGTGAACAATGCGTGTCGCATCGAGCAGGATCGCTTTCTACATTGCTATCCATAAGGATAGGCGTGTCGCTTACCACTAGGCGCACGACTTGTCTGTTCCGTCGTTTGCTATTCAAAAAAAAAAAAAAGAAAAAAATTGTGCAGGAAGCGACATACCACATAAATCCAACCGTCTCAAGTTGTTAGCAAGGCTGACTTGGAATGATTATTATTATTATAGTTTCTCTTTTTTCAGCCCTTTTGGCTGATTTTAACTTCATTGACAGACGGAAATCAAGTTAATACAGCCCAACTGTTACAGTCAAATTATTAATAGATTACATTACTTTGTAATATGTTATCATCGAGTATGTAACCAGAAAAAGAGACGAAATGCCATTTAATTTGTTTGAAACCTTGTGACGCGTCGCACTTCAACCCCCGTAAACCTACCCTTTAGCTCACCGCCGTCACTTGATTAGTTAGGGTAGTAACCCCTTGTGGTTCATGTAATTCTAATATACTTAAAAGGTGAATTTATCATTACTGTAAACCGATCAATAAATGATCAACGTTAAAACTTGGTGTTGGTTTCCTTCGTTAGTATTAGAACCTTGGATAAATTCCTGTAGGTAAATAACAGTGTGCTTGTCCCGATCGCACCCCGGGAATATGCTATATTACAACTTATTCTGCCAAATCATTACCGTGACAACTGTGCATCGATTGGCCCGAATTCGAAACAATGACGGGCGTCGTCAAAGTCAATTGTTTCACTACAAATCAACCAGCTTAACTTGAGCTTTGCTATAATAGACGAAAATTGCAAAATTACATATTTCATTACCGATGAAATCTGTTTGTTTGTTTTCTTGTTTTTCCCACACCACCGAATGGACCAGCACCCATTGTTAGAGATATTATCTTTATTACAATAAATACAGAATATTTTTGGAATATACGGAGACGTACACACAGGTCAGTTGTTGGCGCTGTACTATTTCAGCTTTCTAATTTGTGGTTTCAGCGCAAACGAGAGTTGATATTTAAATGTGATATAAGGTCCCTTTGCCTGATAAGTTGCCAGGGATTTAAGGCACATATTTCGGCTCTATTTCTGGCTATAGACTCGATGTATCTTATAAATAAGAAATAAGTGAATAATTAATAAAGAAGAAACACCCGTGAAAGGTTTAACTTTTCCAATAAAAATACGAGTAGTACAGAAAAATTATAGACAGAATTTCAATAAATTATATGACAACCAAAATAATTCACTTATGTAAATAAGAATATTACATTTTGTTGTTCTCGGTATTTTCTGTATTTTATTATAGTCTTATCGGTTCAAAAGACCATGCGGTTTGTGCCACTTTTTTTATCATATTGTTTATTTATAGGCTTTGATGATTATTGAACATGTCATTTCGCATTTTAAAAATTGGTGCAATAGTTTTTGACAGTATTGTAAAGGTTTGTATCGTTTGGCATTATTATGATGATATACGATAAATTTATGAATCACCATTTCCGGGCATTTTTCATAAATTATAATCTACACATTTTCCCGTCTATTCGTTTGGTAGGTGCTAGGCGCATTCAAAATGCGAGCTAAAATATTATTTTAAAAATGATCATAGACAATATGATATTTGAAAAGACTGCCGTACTTTTTTGTTTAAAACTATTGGTAAAAATGGCACAGACCTTTGGGCCAACCCATTATTTTTATTATACATACATGATTTCATTGATGATGAAGCTTATAGGATGGAAACCAAGAGATAGCTACTAAGTGTCTATTTTTTTTCAGGTGGAGGCAAAAATAAGGGAAAGTCAGTTTCACAATCCTGCCAGTATTTTTGGAATGAAAGCGGTTTGACAGATATTAATTAGTACACGTTACTCGAGAAATTGAAATTGCTAGCGCTCCTCAAACGTTTTTGAAACATATATTGTTTTATCCATTGTATGGTTTTATCAGACTATCTTATGTATCTTATTTTACACTCGTAGATAGTAATTATATCCTTTGAACAGTTTTCTGGTTATGCTAACTCGTTTTTTGATAACTTCCCAACAAAGACCACTGTGAAAAACTGAAAGTTATAAACGAAACACAGTTTTGTTTTATCACTATCTTTATTTTACAAATTTATTACTAAAATATGTACATGGTCCAGTTATTCAAGGCGCGTCGTCTCCTCTGAGTGGCAAGTAGGGATTGCGTCTGCTGTAGAGTGGTCGACGCTGTGGCGGCGCGGGCGCCGGCTCTACAGACGTTCTCGACTGGGCTACGGCTCCAAGAGGAGCTACTGGAATTGGAGTCACCGCATATCCAGCCGCCACTAAAGCAGCGAACTCTTCAGGCGTGTATGCCCTGTTATTTTTGGGTGGAGGCAACTGTGATCTCTGCTCGTCAAGGCTTTGGCCATGTTGCTCAATGTTGATTTGTTCAACACTGCTTGGCTGATCTGCTTTTCCTGACTGTTCTCTAGATTTATCAATTTTCACAGCTTGCTCTAATCGAGCGGGCTGCGGTCTAATGACCTTCTTGGGTGCTACTTTTTGGTTTACGTAAATAGACGAATGAGGCGATTTCGCAGATTCTACGGCACGAGGTTGCTCGGCTGTTCGGATTCCTAGGGGTGTAAGTTCGTATCTGCCACGCTGTTCGTTCGATCTGTATAGAGGTCGTAAGTAATACTGCTCTCCAATTAATTGCGTTGGCTGTTGAGGAACCAGTGCTTCCTGTGGTACAGGGTCGTATATTTTAACGGCTCGCATTTTCTCAGGCTCAGGGAAACGTTTTAAGAAAGTGACGGGACGTTCAATGCTGGACGCCGGTATTCTTTGTTGTTGAGCAGCTTGTGGTCTTGGGGCCTCTACGATTCGGTATTGCTTTGGAGCTGCTTCTTGTTGTTGGTACTGAGGTATGATTCTGTAGGCGAGAGCCGGTCGAGCTTGATGGAGATTTGGTGCCGCCACTACTTTAAGACCTTGAGCTTCTGGACGCTCATAAAGAGCTTGTTGAAGAAAAGCTTGCGCAGTAGGCATTTGCACGTAACGGAGAGCTTGAGTTGGACGCGGTTGCGACTGCGGCGCGGGGCGGTACTGCGGCACTTGCTGCGGCTGCTGTGGCACTTGCTGCTGGACATTCGTCGTTTCAATTAAGTATTGCTGCGGTGCTGCCAATGACTGGGGAGGTGACACGACAGAGTGAACTTTAGGGCGATGTTTGGAGGGTTTCTTGTTTGGTTTAGTAATATATCTGTCGACCTGGAAAAAGGACAGCATTATTGGTTTTATGCAACTACGATCACATGAACAAGCCCTATTTGTGAATGTGAATGATTGAATTGTGTAATATGCAATTTAATTGATAACAAATGTGATAAAATGAGCCAAGTATCTAGTACAAAAAAATCATCAAAATGAATAATTAATTCCGATCCTTCACACAAACTTTACAGTCTATATAAAACTGGTAGTAAAAGAGAAGTAAACGCTTAATAAGATGATGTACGTCTAGGAAGTAGTAACTAGTAATCAGACGCACTCAACGGGGACACATATACCTACGTTCCAATGTTGTAAGAATGTGGATATGGGCAAGACACGTTTTCTCATGATTGTATAGAATCTCTTCGCAAAAAAGAATTATATAGTCCGGCCGCCGATGGGCGAAAGGGTGACCTTCTTGGTGAGTAGGTAACACTTGTCGGAAGAAATTAGACGTGAAAAGTTCAAGATCACATATCACATCTTGTGATGTGAGGTACTGCTGAATACTTACAATCAGCATTGAGTAGCAACGGGTTGAAGAAGAGAAGTTGTGATAAAATAAAATGGGTTTGTCTCACAGATAGCATTAATGTATTAGTCTTACCTGTTGATACTGAGGCGCGACACTCTGTACTGATATTTGTTGATATTGAGGTGCAACGCTTTGTGTTGAGGCCTGAACTTGCTGCTGGTAGAGCTGAGGTGCTACTTGCTGACGAACAGGGGCTTGACCGAGCAACGCCAGTAGCTCTTGATCGAATGAGTCAGATGCGCCAACTCCTGTGTCGCTCACTGATAAGGCAGCGCCTACGGAGGCCTCGCCACCATTTGACGAGTAATGAGGACGCGCGATCACTGCATGCGATGGCTGTAGAGATACCTGCTAAAAGACCATCCATCAGAAATTGCACAATCTTATTTCTCCAGTCGGGAGCGCCTTAGCAATTATTCGTACAGTGTTTTCAAAGAAAGGCATGGAGCTCGAAATTGAAAGCAGATTTACGTTATTGGCATACTTGTACGTTTGTTAATTCCCATATTTAACAAATGCCTAAAATTGTTTGGCTAAATATTAATAAATTAATTTTCTACGTAGGTATATATTTTAATTTTAGTTGGTATTAGTAAATAGTAGTGTTATGCTTTGTCATGATTTTTGAGAGACTTAAGATTTAGTTCAAGTTAACTTGTCGTTAAATTTTATTAAGCGAAATATTTAACTAAAGCAAGGTACCTGGGCTGTGTTTGATGGCTTTTCTCTCTCAGAAATGAACGGACTGAATGGTTTAGGGTCTAACTTGGTGGTCTGTTGCAAATGTGGAGAATTATTGACACCCAGAGCTAGCGGTGGTGCTATTGCAACTGGTTCTAATGACGTTGTTGCCACTACCTTGGATGGCAATGTCACAGATGTAGGTGGTGCGGTCGTTGACACGGTTGGTGTGGTCTTCCAAGCTGGTACTATCTCAAATAATCCCTCAAGCCTGTCTAATGCCAAAGTTCCGTTTCTCGGTTTGATATAATATAACTGCTGTAACTGGTGGCGGATGTCAGCGTGGAGTTTGTGCAAAACTCGAATGGAATTGGGATCGGATTGTGCTGTTTTGTTAAGCTGCGGAATTTGGGACCGATTAAGCAGTGCATTTGGAGTGTTTGGCTGTGCAGTACTGTACATTTGGTGCGATTGAGCGTTATTGGTGGGCAGAGCATTATGTGCAGGTGAGGTTACTTGAACTACCCCACCGGGCATTTCTCCCACCTGTCGTGCTCCATGGGGTTCAAGGAAGTAGATCTGTTGCACGTTTTGACGAGAATCGGGCTGTGGGTTGCTGTAGAGTTGCTGGAGTTGGGATGTACTCGGCAGCGGAGCTTTCCTTTCCGGCTGAAGTTCCAATAGCTCTTGAGGGTTGAGAGAGAACACCTGTCCGGGCCGGTATTCTTCGTTATCGACACGGCTGTACAAACGAAAAAAATAAGATTAGAATAAGTAAAAAACTATAAAGGTTATTGTTGTTTCTTTTTGTGTACCTGACGGAATCTTTGTCGTCTTCTTGAGGTTCTTCTACTGGAGCAACTTGTTCCTTTAAAAAAAAAATATTTTTAAAACTACGTAGAAACACAAAACACAAAGAAACGTAGAATACAATAACTCCAGTGGTCAAGAAAAATTTAAGGAAGTGCCTGTCACTAGGTTAACACCCACTGACAGGCACTTCTGAGTGCACTACTGAGTGGCTTTTACATATGTAAGATATAAAAAACACTGAGGAAAGTAAGACCGGAAGACGAGTCCCACTCAAACGAACAAACAAAAAGGTTATTCCCACACAGAAATAAAAAAGTAACAATCCGCTTAGATGGTCTAGACAAATTAACGGTGTGACAACAGTGCATGTCATAACACATCGCAGTCCGCAATTATGTATTACATTAGATGCGCGTGCGCCGGTGAAAGTCGAGGAAAAACGAAACAATGCGACATGATTATCGGCCGTTTTCGAAACCGGGTGCTTGCGGTTACTTGCGAAATGGGGTTGTTCAATCATGCTCAAGTAGATAGGTAGTAGGTGCTTAAAAAATAGAAGAAAGCTGAATTATTGTGATTGAGTTTAGGCTGAAGTGATACTGAGATTTTTTATTGTAAATCTTAATAAGTAGATTTCGCTTATATAATTTAGTCTGAAGTAAGGTTTAACATATCATATCTTAATATCATGGCATGATACTAAGAGACGGGACGAACAAGTCGTGCACCTACCACTTTGAAGTTGCAATGCCCCTCCGTAAATGGCCAAGTCCCATGTGCCTGTAATTTCACCAGCACTCTTATCCTTCAACACCGGAACACAGTCATGTTCACAATACCGCTTGGCGGCAGAAATTGGTGTGGTGGCAGTATTTCCCCGGATGAACCCTTTCATAAGGAGCTCTGCAGCTACTAAAGTAGATGGTTCTAAAACTGAGCCTAGCACACTCAGTAAAAACTTTGTAGGCTGAGAGGTAACAGGTGATTAGTTAAATAAGTCTAATTATCATAGAACAATAAAGTGCAAATCATTTTGTAGTTCCATGACAATAAAACTTTTTTATGAGTAATAAATTTACAGTTCCATCAGAATAAAAACTTTGTTATGGGAACTAAACACCTTTGTCGGCTCTAAGCCAACAAAGTATTTTTATGAGTGCATAAACCATTTTTTTTATTATATTTCATAAGCCTCTTCTGTCCCACTTCTGGGCAAAAGTCTCCCTCTTTTTGGTTCATTGATCCTAGCCTTAGGCAACGTCTCGTCAGTTCTTTGTACAGGATTCACATTCCATCATCATCGCCGACGTGGCTTACCGCGTCTCCTATTTGAGTTGTGGGCTTCCACTCCGTTATTTCGGCCCACAACTCGCTTGGTATGCGGTAGACGTGACCAGCCCAGTCTCATCTTAACTTGGCCGCCTTCCGAGTTACATCGATAATTTGGGTTTTTGAGCGCAGCGTGGTGTTCCTGACACTATCTTATTGGTTTTACACCTAGTATGCGCTCCCTAGCTCGCTGACATACCCCGAGTTTGAGCTTCTGGGCTTCTGTCAAAGCAGAATTGTTATATACCAAAAATCTATCATACATTTGACGACCTATGTGGATCAACCGTTTTATACTGTGGGTGCTGGATGATGTCAGTGAACTGGTCCCGGGTTTTATTCTAAAACTAACGGGAACTGTTCTAAACTGGTTCTGGTCGGGGTGTTGCGCTGTATCGCGGGTGCCATGGAAGCACAAATAGGCAACCACAAATTGCACCCAAACTCACGAGAAAGATAAATGTAAGTAGAAATGTAAGCCATAGAAATATTTCTCTCGGCCCGAGAATCGAACCTGGGCAGACCAGCATGATAACCGATCGGTCACTGAGGCAGTTTGAGATCAGGCATTTGGTTGTCTAGAGCATAACATTGCTTTAAAATTTTTAAGTGACTGTTATATTACCTAAAAAATATATAATAAAAGATTGCACTTTGTATTATCATTATTACAAAACAAAACTGTTTCGAAAACGACATCATAAAATCCTGAAGCAACTGCTTATTAATTTCGTTGTATAAATCAGAAAATGAAAAGATTATGTTACCACATTATATACATATACGATACGTAAGTGCCTAGTAGTAATACGTTGTTGGGATATCTCGAGCACTAAGCTGACGGCCCTATTAATAAGTGTGTTTATTATGTCTCAAATTACATAAGATTATTTTAATAATTTGAGTGTTTTTTGTTACTGTTTATTGATTAATATAATAGAGTTCAGCTAGACTAATTGGAAATGGAGTTATGGTGAATTGGTAATCCATTGTCCGTGCAATATCAAAGCGCTCTCGGCAAAATTCAATAGTGCAAAATCTAATGACAATATTTCAGGAAGATTTACAAAATAGCGCTAATCTATTTCGAAACGACTAACGTTTGATCTTTATAATAAACAAAGATCTCAATCACAGTGTGCGGTACTTATTTTATAGGGACTAACTAATTGCCAATAAAAGTCTTATTTCAAGCAAATGCATTGGAAGAATCGAGTGTTTAGAAAGACGATATTTTAATAAAATAACGTCTTAGAAGAATTGAAATCATATTTTCTATTGATCCATGCCAACGCTCTTTTCAATTTTTCTATGTACTTGTTGCGGATCTTTGTTTTTAGTTTTTAACTACTTTTTTGCCGTAACGCCATCTGTGAGAAGTCTATTCTCATTTCTTCACACAGCCAAGTACCTTTACGTCTAATAGCGGCTGACTAGAGATGTCGCTTTAAGAACTGTAAAATTTTAGTTTAATTTCTTTACTTTATACTCTACTTACGCTTTTAATAATAATAACGCACACACTCATAGCCCTGCACTAGAGAAACCTTGTATCGCGGGTACCATGGACACACAGATAGACAACCACAAATTACACCCAAACTCACGAGAGAAATAAATCTAGGCCATACACATATTTCTCCCGGCCCGGGAATCGATCCCGGGACCTCTGCGTGGCAGTCAAGCATGGTAATCGTTCGGCCACAGAGGCAGTTTATAAGGACAAGCTTCTAAACTTTGGATTTTAGGATGACTTTGTATGGTCCACGGGCTTTTATAGTTATGATAGCTGTTTCGAGATGCAAATGTCGGAAAGAAAGGCTGTTTGTAAAGAATAAAGCAAAACAGACGAATTGACAGATTCGTTGAAAACAAATCCAAACTCAAGCGCAAATAATCTTAGGAGAAGCAAAGCTCCTTATGGAAGAGTTCGTTCAGGGAGACTCGTACTACAAGTCTGCACCAAATGCAAAGGGCCACTGACAGAAATCCAACGACAGCCGAACCACGAAGGTTGCCGAGAGATGTAAATAAATAGTTGTACTTGCAATTACGTTTAATGCACTATGTCAATTGTATAAGGTGTATAGTGAAGACCCAAGTCGTTTACATAAGAAATTCTATGAAATCCTTTGGCGGTGTTACTAAGTATGATGAGTCGTGTGTTATAGGCCTGTTAAGCAATACGGATAAAGATTGTATCGCAATTTTTGCAACTGTCATACCAGCCGACATGCTATTATTAGACGTTGCATTGCACCTGCATTGTACCATATTTAGTGTTGAAATGGTGATTAAAACTGTTACAAAAGTTCCTGTCTTGTAATTTAGAAAAGATTGTCGGCTAGCCCAAACCATTTGGTTATATAGGAATAGGCCCTTTCCGCTTCTATTCTCGGCATGAGTGTGAGTTTAAATCTTGAGTGGAATATGAACTGATAAATGGTTCTGTTATGTAGGAGCAGGGTTCTTGAAAGTAAATTGTTGCCGATTCCACAATTATCAGAACGTCGTTGTAGCACTGTAGCGGACTGTATCAATGGATGAAAGGTTGGGTGCTAACAACGAGTGAGCAAGGCCAAGACAATGTACTTACAGTTTATTAATAATTTAATAGAAAACACGTTGTCGTTATCAAAGCAAAAACTAAGCTAAAGTCAAAAGCAAACACATTTAAACTAAAACAAACTAAGCTTAAAAAAGACAGATACAAAGAGATTTGTAGCGATTCTCTACAAGCACGGTGAAACAACTGGTGCTCTTCACTCCCCGCATTCTTGAATTATAGTCCCTCTACAATTAGGTACACAACTACGCAATTTCCCTCTAGCGGCAGTATGGCTACTTAAAAGTCGATGTCGCACACGAAATTTCAAGTTTTTAAGTCGTTTCCTATTATTACGTTACTTTTCGAAATTTTTGCACTTACGTCATTGTCGTTCTATAGGTGCGAAAATGGTGTACAGTTGTGTGGGAAGACTCCTTGAAAGTTAAGAGTTGCCGGTTCCATTCTCAGCATGAGTGTGAATTTAAATCTAGAGTAGAATATGCTTCTTTGAATAACATCAAGTAATGGGACGTACAAGTTGTGCGCCTGATGGCAAGCTACACGCCTGACACGGGGCACGGCTACTGCGCCTGACACCCTGGGACCTAAGTTGACAAGTCCCATGTGCCTGTTATTTCACCAGCATCTTTATCCTTTCCAACCGAAACTGAATAATGATCACATTGCTACTTGGCGGCAGAAATAGGTAAGTGGCAGTACTTCCCTGGACGAACACTTAACGCTCTTCTGCTACTAACTACAACGAATATGAACTGATATCTTGTTTTAATGGTGATTGGAATGACACGGTGAAGGAAATTTTTTGAAAAATTTTCTGTAAGTGAAGACGCAATTATTATAACTTTTTTTACAAAAAAAATTTTTTCGCTGTGTTCGTTACCGTGGTCTCTTCAACGAGAACTGAAACGCATTATATGGAAGTCCTCGTCAAAACGAATAATACGAGCCCAAACAAATTGTAGCTGCTGCACTATGTTAATGTACATATGTGTTTAATTGTAAATTGAATAATAAATTTAAAAAAAAAACTGTTAAGGAGTAACTCTTACCTGCCTGCCATTTCCCTCATCGGATCAACTCTAGCTATAATATTTCACTTTCATTGAAATAATATCTATCTGCCAAGTTTCAATATTTCGTTATTCGCTCGATGTACA